GGACACTGGCTGTTTTTTCTACTATTATTTTTGTTATTTCTTCTTTTATTGTCTACACAACGTGGCTCACAGCCAGTAGCTATAGCATATCGCCAATGCATAGAATGTTGCTCGATGCCTCTCTAGTGGATAGCCCGAGATTTCTCGTAGAAGAAATATCGATGTGGATTCCGAGACCTTGTTGGCTAGCTCAAAATTTTCCTTCATGGGGATAAGAGTGAATTTGGTGATAGTCGGTCTGAGCATGGTTATAGCTAAGTGGAAGGTCTGCCTAACCAGAAACGCTTCTATTTTTAAGGGATTTCTACTGAACCGTGGGGGTAATCGTCACTAGAAACTTTTAGTTCTCTTAGGTTGTTACGATGCGACAAGACTATTAACAGAAAGGGGTACGCATCGTCGGCGCAGTTCGGCGACGGGGGGGGGGGCATTTTGCACTTTCGTTGCTTCACTAGTTCCGGTTTACAAGTCTCACTCTGGTGAAACCTGTGAACTCTTGTGAAGCTGGAGCAAGCTCGTCAAGCCATCATGGTAAAACCTGTCAACTCGAGAAGAGGCTGTCTAGATGGGTCGACACGTCGATGGGATCGAAATGGCCTGTTCCGAATCAGCCCGAATTTTAGCTGTCAGATTTCCCAGGTCGTTGCTACTGAACCGTTTTATGGCACATTTCTCATTGTTACTGACTATATTGGATAGTCAGAAAAAGGTGCCACGAGAAATTTTCAGTAAGATCGCGTTTGGGGAGGGTGTGACTCCAATCGAAACACTCATGTTTCAAATCACTTGGATGTTTAGTGCTGATGTCCTGCCACACCACAGGTGCTTTGTCAAGTGACGACCAGAATGCCAGATTCTTTTACAGCACCGCGTATGGGATCGGAATCAGTAGTCACGGGGCAGCTAGTGTTGTATCATCATCGGAAAAGGAGCCCTCTTGGAATAGACTGTATGGGTCGAGTCTAACCCAATCTTGAGGGCCTAGGTTGGGCACTTGCTATTTTGAAATCCCGATGACGTGGTTGGAATACTCCTCTTCTGTTATTTTGAGACTCCTCTTCTGTTTTCTCCATTTTCTTGTGACCAGATGGTGTGCCATGGTATGAGAGCGTGCCATCTCGTATTGCTTGGTAGACTGATCATGGTGGTTGTTTTTCAAGCAACCGTAACTGGCACTCATGAAAATAAGGCTACCTGAGAGCATACCAATAAAAAAAGAAGTAGCGACCATAAAAACAGCCAGCAAATGAGCTGTGTAGCTTGACAGTTTCCGCATTTAGGAGAGGGGATAAGTAGGTGCCTCCCAAGAGAAACTTGATAGAGAGTGATATTCGTTCTTTGATCGATCATAGCAAGTGGGGTTTACCAGGTAAACTTTGAGCTAAAAATCGCGACCTAGCGATCAACTTGCAAAAAGATTAATTGTGATTCTCTGTCTCTGGAGGTGTAATGTTCCCATGCAATCCTTCCAGGTTTCTCAACGGCAAAACAATATGCCTTGTTGCCGAAATTGCCAGTCCCAGATCCGAAGGCGACACTCAATCATTTCTTGGAATTCGCAAAGCCATTACAAACACCACAGGAGTTCCAAGATACGCAAACGGTATTTCTATGAAAATCTGATTACCTA